TGGGGCCCTGGCTAAGCCCAAGCCCACCTATCCACTCGCTGCGCTGGAGGATCCCGGGCTAATCATCAGTGGGCGCACGTCCAGGCCTGCCAGGCCTGCCAGGTCCTTCGGTATCTCCTAATGCTTCATGACCTGTGCTCGTAGAGGGTTCGCTACCGCTGTGCGCTGTAGGGATCGATGGTGCTTACCACCCGTGCACCACCCAGGCCGGCACGGCCTGCATCGCAGGCATCCGCTGCCGCTGCAGAGCCTGCGATGGCGCCTGCAACGATGCTCCTCCCCCCGGCTCCCGCGTCCCCCTTGCGGTACGCAGTGCTACCCGTGCAGCAGCGCGACTGGACTCTCGTCGGCATCGGCCGGCGTTGGGACCTCGATGACCGGCGGGGGCATGATGCGCGGCTTCGCAGTCTAGCGTACGATTAGCACGAGGGGCCTGCCCATCGCTAGAGGTCATGGCCGAGTGCCTAGAGGCTAGCAGAGCTGGTATCGGTCCTATCCATCCCGGTTGGGGTTTGGGGTTTGTAGAGAGAGGTAGGTGTACGAGTCAGCAGCTTGGATGTTGGATGAACGGGTATTGTCATCTGATAATATAATAAGCCTTATAGGTATCATTCACTCCCACCATCCGTACAGATCACAGGTACCGAAAGCTGCTGCGGAATGTTCAGCATCGACGGTGACGAGACTGTGGCGTCTCCTGTCCTCTCAATACCCCGTACCTGCACTCTCTCGCATGACGGCCAGCATCGACTGCCAGCTTCCGTCGTCGTCATTGTGCAGCGCCAGAAAACCAGGGGGTGATAATCATCGGAAAGGGGGGGTAGGGGGGGGGGGGGGGGGGGGGGGGCAGCAGAGAGATCATACTCGGATCAAAATCCTTGTCGGTGAGGGGGGAGGTAGGGGGCCGCTCGAGAGAGGGGCATTGGCAAAAGATGGGGTGCGTCTGGGATAGAAGGAGGATGGCCAATGACGCTTTTTAGTCTTCATCGATATTCCTGCATCGTCATCACGATTACCCGTACAGGTATGATGGGTGTTCAACTATTTCGCTGCACCGCTCCATCAGCACTCGGCACTCGACATCTTCTACGAGGCAGGAGTACGGACCGTTATTACTGTTATCATCCTTGCTGTCGTGATTACGACAAGCAGTGATCCAGATGGTATTAATAAATCAAATAAAATCCTGCTGAGCTAATAATACTACCATCATATATACCATTTCTGTCGTAATATACGCTATAATCCGTACTATATATACCTACATACATATATATATAATCTGTACTGCTGTAGGTGATTATCCTTCCTGCACGAGTGCAGATTGCAGCCTCTGCTGGAGGACATGTCCGTCGCGGCAGCTGATGATGTTAACGATGCCACCCATCTCCTCCCCAGAGCTCGCACCGCCAAGACCCGGCCAGCACACCTCTGCATCCACTGCACGCGCCTGTAATTTGGCGGGAAGTACGGCCGAGCGTCGAGTACGGGCGAGCACAGGCAACGGGTATTACACCGCCCGGAGACGGGAGGAGGGGGACCCTGATTTACTCACGGTCTCGGGACATTGTACCCCTGATCTATCATCATCCCAACTGATATGAAGAGTCGTGGGTTTCTGCAATCTGCATTCATGTCAGGGAATTCACAGTTGATGCCAGTGGGAAGGATGCAGATTAGAGGCTGATGACGCCCCCTGCACGAGTGCGCAGTAATACTGCTCCGTAGAGGACGAGAGTCCCCCCCCCCCCCCGTATTACCCGTAGAGGAGGAGGATTCACCTGTCCCAACTCCCGACACCGATTCTGCCGCGGTTACTGAACGCTGGAGTCTCACGCCGGCCCATTCCCGGCACCCCGAGTAAGCTCGTCGAGGTGCATGCTGCCGACACCAGGTAAGATTACTTGCTCTGTAGGAATATGTCCAGTGATAATCTGCAGATGCCTGCAAGTAGCAGTGAGTACTGATGATGGTGATACCTGTAGCGAGGTAATCTTAGTACTCGCAGAATAGACTTGACCGGGAATACGGAGTACGTGTAATATCTGTACAGATTACAGGTGCGGATATCCCTACCTCTAATCTGTAATACTCCGTACCCTCCCTCTCCCTACCAGAAACTAGAATAGCACCGTGAGCCCACGGCTACTGCCCTTGTTAGAGGTCTCCTCTCTACAGATTATTTATGCATGCATGCATATCACATGTACAGTGCAGTGCTCCGTACTCGGTACCGTATTGCTGAATCTGTCGATAAATAGAACTCCCCCTGCATCACAATCGTTCTAGCCCAGTCCAGAATATTTTCTAACAGTACGGATTGCTGCGAGTAGTGATGGTAATGACACGACCACCTCTGCCCCCCCTGCACAGGTTACTCTCCTCGTTACCCGTGACCGGAGAGCGAATACAGATCACCCGTAGTGTTGATAGCCAGCCGGTCATTACGAGAGTCAACGAGGTTGGCGAGCATCTGCATACCCTGCACCTGCATACCCTGTACTCGTACCTTCCTGCACCAGCCGTCTTTACCGCATCGCGCCTTTCGTCCGTACAGAGACACACACAGCTCTCTGCAGACGGCAATCCATCTCATCTCGTACTCGTACCTACGTCTATCGTATCACGCTCGTCGAACCTCTTCATACCACCACTACCGCAGCTTAGCACATGCAAACCCTCTGATGCCGACCCCAATACTACCAACCCCCGACACCGTAGCTCAGTACTTGGCAGCGAGCGCCTGCATCTTGTCGTCCATACTCCTCCTGGCCGCACCGGCAATCCCCCTCTCGGGGTCGGCCATCTCCTCGCTAAAGTACAGCTCCAGCAGCCTGCTCAGCTCCTCGCGTGAGAACCTGTCCCCGTCCCCGTTCCCGTCTCCGCCTGCCGTCGCCGCAGCCACGATCTGATCCGGCCCGGCATCGAACAGGGCAAAGTAGTTGGACGCCCTGGCCAGGTCGACCCCCTGCTCGATATTCTTGAGGTTCTGCTGCAGCACCAGCACGTTGAGCTGCATGCGCCCGCAGCCCTTGGCGTTCATCGGCGACGCCATCCAAGCGTTGCCCACCAGGTAGTCGTTGATCAGGAGGCCCACGCCGCCGCGGATAAAGGCCGTCTCGCGCTCGCGCAGGTACCGCGACGCCGTCTCGTCAAACACCACCAGCTCCGAGTTCAGGCTCAGGATGTGCGGGTCCGGCTCCGTCACCTCCTGCTCCAGCAGGTAAGGCGCCAGCTCGGGCGACAGCGTCGTCCGCAGCGAGTGCACGATCCGGCAGCGCATCTCCATGTGTAGCGTCAGGAGTGCCGTCTGGGCGAGCTCCTCGAATGATGATACGATGCTGTCGAATCCTCTGTTGTGCTTGGTCAGTCGTTATCTCTCCAGCGGCCCATGTAGAGAGAAGTAGAGGAGAGAGGAGGAGGAAGAAGAAGGGGAAGAAAGGACAGAAGAGAGAGGGAGAAGGAAGAAGGGGGGGAAAAAAGGAAGAAGAGGAAGAAAGAAAGAGGGGGGGAAGAAGAAGAAAGGAAAAAGAAGAAGAAAACGTACTGAACAGTCTCTGCTGTGAGTGGTAGGTACACCGGACGCTGCTGCTCCGTCGGCGTGTTACCCCCGGCGTCGTTCATCAGTGTCCAGCGCCTGCTGGCCTCGCGCGGCGCGTTGTGCCTTGCCGAGTCCGCGTCGTGCGTGGTTATGTGTCGCAGGCTCGAGATCTTCCCGGCCAGCCACTTCATGCTCGTGTACAGCAGGCAGAGGAGCGAGATGGTCTCGCTGTCCTGGATGATGTCGCCGGCCTCGAGCTTGGACTCGTTGGTCTGCTCCATCAGGAGCCGGATCTCCTTCTCCGCCAGGGCCGCCAGCCCGGCCGCGTCCGCCTTGTCGGTCGTCCACATGTCCTGCATAGTCTGGTGGAGCTCGCCCGGCTCGACGGCGAAGCGCGCCGAAGCCCGGAGGTTGCGGCTGTCCGTCGGTGCCGTCGCCGCCGCCGTCGCCGCCGCCGTCGCCGCCTGCGGGTCCTGCTGCTGCTGCTGCTGCTGCCCCGGATCTTGCTGCGTCGTCTTGGTCACCAGCGACTTGAACCAGCTGAAGCAACGATCATAGTATCGCATCATCTGGGTCACGATCAGCGAGCTGAGCGCCTGGTCCGGCGGTATCGTCCCCAGCATCCGGCAGAAGGCCGTCACCACCCCGAGGAAGGCCGTCGTCCCCTTGAAGACCGGCCGCCTCGCCACCTGGCTCCAGTGCGGGTCCTGCGTGAAGGCGTCGACCTCGCCAAACACCCCGTCGCTCAGCTTGGCCAGCGTCTCCTCCAGCTGAGGCTGGAACACGTTGACCAGGAAGTTATCCAGGAACGTCGTCAGGGCGCTCGTCGCCAGGTCCGACCCCGGCGGCACGATGCCCTTGAGCCTCTGCAGGAACACCAGCGTCGGCGGCAGGAGCAGGCTCATGTTGAACACGCTCGGCTCCACCAGCGCCTTGTACGTGCCCGTGGGTTGCGGTCCGCCGCCGTTGGCGCCGCCGCCGCCGCGCCGCGAGCTGCCCTCGTCCACGGCGGACCGGTTCTTCCTGCCCTCGGCCGCCGACCTCCGCGACGAGCCGCTCGTCAGCCCGGGCACCGTGGCCTGGATGATGTTCTCGAGCGCCTCCAACTCCGTCTCCATGTCGACGGACCTGGGGTCGAGCTCGGAGAACTTGAAGAGGTGCTCGCGGGCCGCGTCCTTCTTGCCGTTGAGCGTGGCGCCCGGCATGGGCGAGTCGAACTGGTAGACGTCGGCATCCGTAGTGACGTAGTTGTGCAGCAGCGAGCGGATCTCGTTCTGGTACAGGTTCCACAGCTCCTTGAAACTGCCGAGCAGGGCGCTGTTGTTGCCCGCGCCCTCGCGGCGGATCAGGGCCTTGATTGCCTCGTGGAAGACGCGGTGGCCCTCGCCGATGGCCTCAAACTTGCCGAACAGCGTCCAGAGGAGGTCGTGGATGACGTCGCCCCGCATCTGCGTCTCGCGGGTGCCGTAGACGAGCAGGCCGTCGCCCTTGTTGGTGCTGCCGCGTAGGGAGCTCGGGTGGCGCTGATCGACCTCGTTGATGGTCTCGTTGACGATGCCAAAGAGCTCGACCGGCAGGCGCTGCTTGAGCGTCTCGACGGCGTTCTGCAGCCTGCCGAGACGGTTGAGGGCCTCGACGAGCAGGGTGACGTAGTAGAAGGTGTCGGCCTCGGGGTTCTTCATCGGGTCCTCGGCCGCGGCCGAGTCGATGTCTACGGAGTCGAGGATGGCGTGGAAGGGGACGATGGCCGAGGTGCCGTCGCCGTAGGCGTCGTTCTGGGACGAGCTGCTCTGCGTCTTGGTGAGGTTCTGCCAGCGGTCCTGGCAGTACGGCGACTTCAGGTACAGGTGCTCGTGGAGCTCCTCGACGAGTATGTCCATGAGGGCCGTCTCCTGGTTGGACAGGTAGGACCTGAGGTCGGCGAGGGCGCCGATGTTGTCGAGCTCGGGCTTGCGCAGCTTTCGCAGGGCGCTCTGCAGTACCTCGACGGCGGTTAGGAAGCGCTTCTCCGAGATGCGGGCCTCGAGCTGGTCGGGCACGGTGCGCAGGTCGTCGAGCTCGTTGAGCGTCTGCAGCAGCTCGTCGTAGCTGTTGGACGCGCTCGAGAGCTTCTTGAGCTCCGGGTCGGTGGTGCACAGGCTCGTCTTGGCGGCCGCCAGCGACTCCTTGAGCGCGCGCACCCGCTTCTGCGACGCGTGGATGCTGCTCTGGATCTTGTGGAACGTGCCGATGGACGAGTTGAAGCCCTGGTGGTGCTCGTGCACGATGTTCTTGAGCGACTCCTGCAGGTACATGTGCGTCTGCTGGAACTTGGCGTACTCGTGCGCCCGCCCCACGGAGCTGCTGTCCAGCAGCTGCAGAGCCAGCTGCACCGGCAGGCAGTCGCTCTCGTACATGCTCGGCCACTCCGTCTTGATGTGCTCCAGCACCTGCGTGATTTGCTGCTCCGCGCTCGTCGTGTCCGACCTCATCCTAGTACCTAGCTGGGCTGTGCGTGCCGCCGTCGTCGCCGTCGATGACGGAGGCGGCGGCGGTGCCATATCAGCAGCGACAGCCCTCGGGCTACGACGACCGACACTGCCACCCCCTCCGCCATATCTATCATCGTTGTAGCCGTTTCCATAAGGGTCATAATCTTCGCTTCCTCCCCCGGGGGTTCCTAGACCTCCGTAGCCGTTGCCATTGGGGGGAGACGCGCCTCCGCCGCCGCCGCCGCCGTATCGGTTCGACATGTTCTCGAGGCTCTGTGGTTGCAGCAGTTGGTCACGGGTTGGGACACGTTTGCGCGCGCATCATGACCACACCGGGCTCTTCTTTTATTGTCACTTTTCTTCTTTTCTTCTGTTTCTTTCTTCTGTCTTCTTTCTTTATGGCTCTGTTGTTTTGTTTTCTTCTCGATCCTTTCTCTTCGAGTATGTTTGATCGGATATCGGATACCCGTGCTTCTCCAGAGTTGTCGCCGTCGTCGTCGTCGTCGTCGTCGTCGTTGTTGTTGTTGTCGTCAGAATAGTCCCTTCGTTGCGTGTTTCAGACTCTCGGATTCCATCGTTGCTCGACGTAGCCACTATCAGCTAATGCCTATTTGGCTGGGAGGAGGGGGGGGGGGGGGGGGGGGGGGGGCCACCGCCAAACCGCCGACAAAGAGAGAGTGCCACTTTATTGACGCACGGGCCATTCGCCCAACCCTCTTTACTCTCCGTATCCGTATACATCATCCATTTTGTCCATAGAAGCACGTCTATTGTAATGGATAACAGCTTCATCGGGTTGGTATTTCATAGCTTGTTCTCCGCCACGTATCAATTGAAGGTCAGTTAGTACTTCTCTCGTACCAGCTCTCGTCGCATTGCTAGAATCACCACGGCTACATCGCCGCCAACTTGATCCGTTTACCCTATGAGCAACCCTTCCAACCAGCATCGGGATTACAAGTCTGTTCAGGAGAATCGCTGATGGCACCGTGCCGGAATAAGGCGACTGAGCTCTTCACCTCTACTCCACAGCCTCTGACCTACCGGGATTCTCATCGGCAAGGAGCAGGTGTGCGTACCAAAGAATAACATTACTAGCAGCAGTATCCCAAAATCATGCCAACGCCCAATTCGATCCTGGCTCCTCGTACCACCCTATCGTACTGTATCTTCCCATGCTCGACACTCTTCCTCCTCGCTCCGTCTCATCACATCATGCCTTTACGGTGCAGGGCTCGAAGGCTGCTGGGAAGGGCTGGTCTGTCCCCTTAGGTTGATCTGCCCGATGCGCGAGACGATGTTGTTCCCCACCGCGTCCACAGCGCCCCTGGGTGACGACAGTGTCGGACCCGCGGGACTCGTCTCCTGTACGCGGAACAGCTTGATGGCCGTGCCGTTCCAGACGCCCATGTTGCCCTTGGCGACCTGCATCTCACTTGTGAAGACGATACCCCACAGCAGGGACTCGTACCAGCCCAGCGCCAGGGGGGACCACTCAAACGAGTGTACGCGCACAGCCGACGGTTCCACGCCATGCAGCTCCGTCTGGCGGATGCGGCGCAGGGTCTCCGGGCTTGCGGGGTCCTGCGACCGCGCCAGAGCGTGCCTGGGGATGACGGGCGATACCTGCTGGATCACGACCAGGGCCGCGTGGAGGGGCAGCTCGGGCAGCCACGAGTCGATCCACTGCGTCGTAGGCTCGAAGGCCCCACCGCCGGGGGCCTGACCGGAGACGGAGTACGTCGACAGGCTGGTCGTGCTGTTCTGGCGCGAAAACGACCTTGCGTTTGCCGGCATTTTGCCCCGGGCCTTCTCCGACATGCCGCGGAGCTGCACGGGGACCCCGTCGTCCGCCGCCTGCACCGTCGAATCCTGCGACTGCCTATCGCTCATCGTAGACTGCGCCGGGGTAGGCCGGCTGTCGCCGTCGTCGTCGCTGTCGTCCTCGTCTTCGCCGATGGAGAAGGCTCCGTCTTCGGGGACTTCCTCCAGTGTCTGGGCGTGAGCCGGCGCGCTGGAAGGGCTTCTCGTGCTCTCCGCCGAGCTGCGCAGCGACCCGGGATCGAGAGGGTCGAACGATGCGCCCGAGTCCTTGCGCATGCGCTGCCTGCGCTCCATCTCCTCCTGCCCGCTCTCCAGCGTGAAGGATCTGAGGGCCTCGATGCGTTTCTTGTGCCTCACAAGGGCAATGACGAGCTCGGGGTTTTTCCTGTACTTGTGCTCGATGACGGCGTTGATGGACTCGAGAAGGGAGTGGAGGAGGGTGTGGTTGGTCTCGTTGGCGAGGAGGAAGGAAGGGGATGACATGGAGGAGAACAGCTGCAAGAGGCGAGCACTGCTGGCCGCGCTGAGGCCTTCCAAGTATGGGGCCGTGTTGTTGATGACGGCCAGGAGCGCCGGGTAGATTGCCGAGAGCTTTCCCTGGCTGGTGGTGATGAGGGTATAGATGGACTGTATCAGAAAGTCTGCGTATGTGCCGTAGAAGGTGTTGATCCTGATGGACGGGGGCAGGCTCTGCTGACCCTCAAACGACTTGTTCAGGCTGGTGCCAAAGGTGGGCTCGACGCTCAGCGTCTGCAGCACAAAGGCACACATGCGGACGATCCCCTGCTTGGCCAAGTCATTCTTGTACTCCAAGGCGTAGAACAGGGCCAGGACGACAAAGTCGTGGACGCATCCCGTGTCGATGATGTAGGCACGGAACCTCTTGTTGCACTGCGTAATCTCCCAGAACAGCATCATGGTCTCGGGGGTGAAGCTCCCGGATGACTGCGTCCCCGGCAGGTAGGATGCCTTCTCCTGCAGGGGCTGGTTCAGGATGCGCGTCATGCCGTCCACGATGAACTGGAAATCTTGCGGGCGGTGGACGCGGCCGAGGAAGTGGCGGTAGACGTTCTTCGGAGTTGCGCCGCCCTGGGTCTCTGGGATGGGGTACAGGACGAGGGTCAAGAGGAGCTGAAGAGAGTAGGTGACGAGTATGTGCTTGGCATCCTTGGAAACGAGCGAGTTGTAGGGCACCCGCCACGTTGCCGGGTTGTACTTGAGAGCCTGGGATGGGACGGTCAGCGTCAGGATCACGGGCCGCAGGTCGTCGGGGAGGGGCGGAACAGACGTACCGTGTTGAGCAGAGAGCACAGAACCGACAGGACAACCTGCTTATCCTGGCAGGTGCAGAGGTAGGTCAGAGATCGGACGCCCCTGGAAGGCAAGACGCCCTGCGTCATGTACATGCTCTGGCCGGCGAGAGTGAGGAGCAGGCGCATGATCTCGCTCCTGTTCCTCTCGTACTCCTTGGTGGTGGCAACGGTCGTGTTGCATCCGACTCCGCTCTGCCAGATGGCATAGTTGACCTTGGGCCGTCCACGCTGCTGAGGCGGCAGGGTCAGCTCCGAGTGGAAGAGCAGGTCGACGAGGGTGTCTATGAGCTCCTCAGCGAGCGGCTTGGCGTACTCGTACTCGGTGCCCGATTCTCTCGGCTGGGGCTTGGACTCGTCGAACAGCACCTCGTTGGAGATGGTGGCCTTGCGTGTCCTCTTCCTGCGACCGGCCCAGAAGAAGCGCTCCTCCCAGGAGCCGAGGGTATCTTTTTCGTAGAGGAAGGGCAGGATGCGCGTCAAGATGCGGATGCAGTTCAAGGCATCGCGCTCCGGAGCCAGGTCCGGGTCGGGAAAGGACGGGTGGTGACGTAGTATGAATAATCGGGAGGTCGTGGCTAGTATCAACGTCTCGAGGTTCTCGAGGGCCTTATCTCGGGTTCTTCGAACGTCGGCTGGGGAGAAGAGGCTGAAGATGTCTTCGGCGGATTCGGGGAGCTCCCAGAACTAGGCGACAAGAGGTGGGGGAGTCAGCATCATTCACGATTGCTTGTAGAACACAAACGGCCTGCACAAGGCTCCAGACGTACCGATGTCCAGTAAGAGTCATCGGCTGGAATGCTGCGCTCCTCGGAGAGCTTGAATATGCCCTGCTTGAAGACGAGCTTGGAGTCGCTGGCACCCATGATGACGACGATGGATAGGATCAGTAGCCTCGCCGGCGGATCAGAGGAGGGGAGCGATGAAATTCCGTGGACCACATGCGCTCCGGAGTTGATGGGACACGACGGATCAAGAAAAAAAAACGAGAAGACAAGCTGTACGGTCGTTGAATGCTTGGGGCTATGTGATGCGTGTGCCAAAGAGCTGCGAAGTTCCGGGAGCCTCTAGAAGTCACCCGGTGACTGCGGTGGCCTGGGGGCGATTGACCAGGTGTGTGTGTGGGGGGGGGGAACCAGTAAACCAGTTGTGGATCGTGGCTACCTTGATTGCTTGTTGCTTTGTATGTACTGCTACAGGGCTGTCACCTGCGTTGCGGTAGTGTAGTATTAGTAGTAGTACGAGTATCAGCAGTAGTCTTAGCAGTAGTCTTAGCAGTAGTTTTAGCAGTAGTAGTAGCAGTATGCAGTAGTAATAGCAGTACCAGTACACCGCTGTATATGTAGCTGTACTGTGGGACTACGAGTAATAATACTCTTAGCGCAGCAGCCTGTATCTCTGTAGCAGGGCACTGGGAAGCAGCCGAGAGCTCAATCAGGACCAATCATGCGTCCGAAAGGCCAGTAATAGAGAGACCCCAAACTTCCCCAGAGCTAGTGAAATAAAAGAAATATCGAATGGGCCGAAGGATCAAAGATACAGGTACGGAGTACGAAGTACTATCGGTATAGTACGAGTAGGTAATGATACATGCTAATTGGAATCGGGAACAGAGTACGAGCGAGTACGTACCCTACCGCTAGGAGTGCCCCCCTTTATAATACAGCATCTCTTTACCCGTACTACAATCTACTATCGATAAGAAGGCAATATTGCTACTAGGCTTTGCCTTTTTTTTCTCTTTACGGAACCGCCTCCTTCATCTTGCCCAGCCCAGTTCGAAGGCAGCAACCGCACAGCTGGCGACCGAAACCGAGCGATCCTCTGCCATGCTCCGTCGTGGGTCCGTCGAGCTCACCGTGCTCAGGAGAGCATGTCTGGGCCGCGCTATTGGGCTCAGGCCCGCTGTTCTCTGCGCAAACCAGCACCGCCCGAAGGCTACTCGACCATCCCCTTCGCCCCAGGAGGCGTTGGCTCTGAGGACATATGCTTCCAAACGGAAGAAGTCAAAGCAGAGCAAGTCCGGGTCAGCTAGCGATGCTGTGCAGAAACCAGGCTCGGTCGAAGGTCCACGCGGGGAGGGGACACCCATGACGGATCTCGAATACCAGCAATCGTTATGGGAGGCGCATAGACTGGAATCGGCGCTGGACATGGACGAGACCATCCAGGACCCTGCTGCGGTGCCCGGCTTCGAAAAAGCATCTGGGCCGGAAGCCGACGAGAGCAGAGCGACTACTGAACGGAGTCTCAAGACGGCAAATGCCAGCAGCGCATCGACAGATGGCGACGCACCCAAGAAGACGAGGCGTGCTGCGGCCAGGGCGCCGAGAAAGTCGAGAAAGACGCCCATCGATGTCAAGACGCTGAACCCCAAGGACATTGCCTTCACACCCGTGGAGGAGGAGGAGAATGCTCATCAGCCGGTGCCCGCCCTCTCCTACGGCCTCGACCGGGTCCTGTTCAACCCGGGAGTGTACCAGATACAGGATGCGCGGTCGCAGGTCTTCAACTTCGACCCCTACCTCACGACCATCATGCCCGTCGACGAGTTCGACTTCGACGCGCTCAAGGCGTACATAACCTCCTCCAAGGACACGAAGCTACGCGAGATGAGCAAGAAGCACGGCATGAAGTACTGCGGGTCGACATCCAGCATGACGTCCATCCTCGCCCACTTTCACTACCTGCTGTCGGCCTGGAGGAAGCCCAATTTCTCCTCCCTCTCACAGTCTCTCGAGCTCGACTCGACAAATTTCACGCGGCTGACCAGGGCGCCCGCCTCTGCCTACGCGCGGCTGAACGATGGCGTGTACGCCATCGATGCAGACAAGGAATTTGACAAGGAGAACATCCTCAGCACGCTTGGAAAATCTATGGAGAAGCTCCTCACCCTGCCGAGGGAGGAGTTCGAAAAGTACCGCCGCACGCGGTCCCACCTCATCACCGAGGAGGAGCGCAACGCCGACGAGGCCTACCACTATACGACGCTGGGCGACTTCCTGATGCGGTCGCAGCTGGACGCGCGCGACGCTCGACTACCGGGCACGGGCATTTTTGATCTCAAGACCAGGGCAGTCGTCTCGATCCGCATGGATGTGCAGGAGTACGAGAAGGGCCGGGGCTACGAGATCCGCAAGCGCTTTGGCCAGTGGGAGTCGTTTGAGCGCGAGTACTACGACCTGATCCGCGCCGCCTTCCTCAAGTACTCGCTGCAGGTGCGCATGGGTCGCATGGACGGCATCTTCCTCGCCTACCACAATACCCAGCGCATCTTTGGCTTTCAGTACGTCAGCCTCGAGGAGATGGACCACGCCATCCACGGCACCAGCGACCGCAGGCTCGGTGACCTCGAATTCAAGGCCAGCGTCGCCCTCCTCAACGACCTTCTCGACCGTGCCACGAAGCGCTTCCCAGGACGCAGCCTACGCTTCCACGTCGAGACGCGCGACACCAAAGTGCCCCTGACGTATTTCTTTGCCGAGCCCGTCACCGAGGAGGACTTTGAGCAGTCGCGCGAGGAGGCCAAGCGCTCCGTCGAGGCGGTGCAGAAGGACATCATGGACATGAGGGACGAGCAGCGTGCCGCCGAGAAGATCTCTGGGCAGGGGGACCTACCCGAGCAGATCGGCGAGGCGGCGGATGAGTCCGGGCCTGGCACGTCGGCGCCAGGCAAGACAGCCGAGGCCGAGCAGAGCGACGAGGACGGCTGGGAGGAGATGATTGCCATGATGGAGAGCATCGTCGAGAGCGACTCCCAGGGCACGCTCCAAGTGGCGGAGGCCATCCAGAACGCCATGGAGCAGCTGTCCCTCCTGCCTGGCGCGACGGCCCAGGAGAGGGAACAGGCTGTGGCCAGGCTAGAGAGTGCGCTCCTCGAGGACCTCCCGACCATGAGGGAGATCCACAGCATGGACGAGACTGAGAGTTCGGCCCAGGACCAGGAACCCGAGGAGGTGGAGGGGGAGGCGAGCGCAACAGAGGCTACGGAACGGGAGACTGGCACGGAGACTACGGCAGAGGCTCCGGAGAAGGCCCCCGAGCCCTCGACGGAGAGCGTGAAGGCTGAGGGCGAGGAGGCCGCTGCCGTCGTCGCCGAGGAAGGCACCGTGACGTTGGTAGAAGCCATGCGGAGGGCCATGGCGAGCGCACAGCTGCGGTCCGAGACACCCGGTCTTGAGCTTCGGCCGTTTGAGCGGGTAGTTGCCGAGCTGGCGGCCACGGCCAGGCAGGGAGAGGGCGGCGGCGTTGCCGAGGAGCAGGCCGAGGAGGTGTCCGACGAGACGAAGCCCGAGGTGGCTGATCAGACCCCGGTCGAGAAGGAGAAGGAAGGGGAGCCAGAATCGACAGAGGCAGCGACGGCGTCAGCCGAAGGGTCCGCCACGGCGCAAGGCAAACCGCCCCGCGAGATTCTGGGCATGTACGTCACGGTACGCAACAAGGTCAACGGGGAACTGGTAGACCGCCCGGAGGATTCACCCCGCGATTGGTCGGTGCAGTACGCCATCAACGAGATTTCCGAGTCCGAGGCTCAGAGGATCTACCCCAGCCTGCGGGCGAGGCGGTCGCGCATCCTCAGAAACGACAAGACGACAGTGCCGGACAAGTGGAGGGACTCGTACCGCGATCGGCTCAAGGACATGGCCAAGCAGGGGGAGAGGTATCGCCAGAAGGTGGAGCGAATGCAGGAGGGCAAAGTCGTGTATGTCGCCTGGGATGAGAAGCCGCTCCCTCCTAGGGCGAGGATCGAGGGTGTGGACCGGGGAGAGGGGGCGTAGGACGTCTATGCTGATGTTGTATTACTGTATTATAATGTTGTCAACGCTATGCATCTGATGCTTTTTGTATATGTAGCATCTCCAATCGGAGCGGCGTCGGGGGCTAGTGGATTCTCTCTGCTCTGCCCCGTACTTTTTTTTTATCTTGTAGACTAGTCATATCATGTAATATACTGTGTTATAGCTGATACCCGCACCAAGGAAATCTACATGCTGCATCACGAGAGCATCAGCATCACCGCTTTAGTACTAGTAATTTCCACGAGTACACGTATCTAGATGTGCATGATCATAGACAGCAATATCTGTGCAGCCATCACAAGCGCAGCCATCACGTCGATGTGGCCGATCGATGGTCAAATTTGACAACAATCACGGACAGATTGGACAATGATACCTCAGGCAGAAATAGCACTCGTAGTCTGTAGAGTCGGAGATGATGACGGAATAGAGCCGGCCGCCATTGAATCAAGGCCCCGCTCACCTGAACCATCTGGACCAACCAAAGAAGAGCGCAGCAACGGTAGTTACACACCACTGACACCAACGATCAGGCTTGCGCTCCCCCCCCCCCCCCCCCCCCCCTTCTCATCTTTAATTCACACCAACACAGCCCAAGGTCTCAGAGTTGAAGTTTATTGCGGCCGGGCGATAGGAGCTGTATAGGTACCTATATCGATCGCTTACAGATGTACACACAAAAGTTGGAGGAAATATTAGGAGAGAGAAAAGAAAAGAACGGTTGGATGCGACTGGGTATAGGCCGTCCGTCGCTGAGGGCACGGCCTTCGCTGCTGGATCTGGTGCGGGCCAGAGCCAGCAGCGCGGACAGCAGGAGCAGCGTCCCCGTAAGCCCCAGCGACAGCGACACCAGCGAGGACAGCGAGGACGGGTCTCGCCGGCACAGCGGACCTTTCAGCGAGGTACCCGCTAAAGAGCCGACGGCTACAGCGTCAACGTCGACCCCCCCGGCGCCTGGAGCCTCAGCAGCGACTGGGTCAGGCACAGCCGTGAGGGAAGTGGTGAAAGCCACAGCAGCACCTTCGTCGTCCCCACCACCTGCACCGCCGCCCGTGCTGGAGGTAGCTTCCGCTCTGCCTCTGCCACGCTCTCCTCCTTACGCTCCGTCATCATCACCGCCCGTCTTCACCACCAACACCAACGAGGACGACCCTGAGCTACCGTCATCGCCCTCACCCGCTCCCCGTCGACAGCGCTCATCGTCGTCTTCCGCATCCGAGCCTTCTACGCACTCGGCCGAATCCTCTCCGCACGACGCTCGCCGTACCCCTTCCTCCTCTACTCCCGCCATGGCTTCCAAGGTAACGTCGTCCTCTCGCCGCTTCCTCCCTCCCCCCTCCCTCACCGGCTCTCGGCCCGCGCCCGCCATCCCCCTTCCGCCACGAAACGCGATTTGCTGATTGGAGATTGTGACAGAAACCTTCCGCCAGCGAGGGCGAAGAAGTCCATTATGGTATGTCTTGTTGATGCCTCAACCTCGTGACGCAATGGGTGCGAGATAACTTTTTTTCTCGAGAGAGTGGAAGCTGACCGATCGACACAGGCAAGATCTACTCCATCTCTGGGTTAGCAACGAATCTCCCCTCCCCCCATTGGCCTCGTAGAACCGAAAAGAAACGAGAGATTGGCATCTGGGATCGATGACCAAGCAGGAGAAGAGGGAGAAGAAGAAGAAAGACCGCTGACACGTCTGCAGTCCCGTCGTTGTCGCCGAGGAGATGACCGGTGTTGCCATGTACGAGCTGGTATGATGAACAACACAGCCCTTCCTGACGATCTCGTCTGTATTCCAGAGCTGACTTGCCCTTCCCCACTCTACAGGTCAAGGTCGGCCACGACAACCTTGTCGGTGAAGTCATCCGTCTTTCGGGTGACCAGTGCACCATTCAGGTGTACGAGGAGACTGGTACGAGACTGCCCACAGGTGATGGATCGCGATGCCATATGGTGCGTGCTAACCTCGATCTGCAGCTGGCGTTACTGTCGGTGACCCCGTCTTGCGCACGGGCAAGCCTCTCTCGGTCGAGCTGGGTCCCGGCCTCCTCAGCAGTATCTACGATGGTATCCAGCGTCCCCTCGCCTCTATCCAGGAGGCAGCCGACTCCATCTACATCCCCCGCGGAATCTCCATCCCCGCTCTCGACCGCAAGAAGAAGTGGGAGTTCACGCCCACCATGAAGGTCGGCGACCACATCACCGGTGGTGACGTCTGGGGAACCGTCTTCGAGAACTCCTTCATCCACACCCACCGCATCCTTTTCCCTCCCCGCGCGCGCGGTGTCATCACCAAGATCGCCTCCAAGGGCGAGTACACGGTCGAGGAGAAGCTGCTCGAGGTTGAATTCTCGGGCGAGAAGACCAACTACCCCATGATGCAGAGCTGGCCTGTCCGCGTGCCCAGGCCCACGACCGAGAAGCTGTCGGCCGACCAGCCCTTCATCGTCGGCCAGCGTGTGCTCGACGCCCTCTTCCCCAGCGTCCAGGGTGGTACGGTTGCCATCCCCGGTGCTTTCGGCTGCGGAAAGACGGTCATCTCCCAGTCCGTGTCCAAGTTCTCCAACAGCGACGTCATCGTCTACGTCGGCTGCGGCGAGCGCGGCAACGAAATGGCCGAAGTCCTCAAGGATTTCCCCGAGCTGACCATCAACTACGAGGGTCGCCAGGAACCCATCATGAAGCGCACCACGCTCATCGCCAACACGTCCAACATGCCCGTCGCAGCCCGCGAGGCCTCCATCTACACGGGAATCACGGTGGCAGAATACTTCCGAGACCAAGGCCTGAACGTTGCCATGATGGCCGACTCGACGTCCCGCTGGGCCGAGGCTCTGCGTGAGCTGTCTGGCCGTCTGGGCGAGATGCCGGCTGACCAGGGCTTCCCCGCCTACCTGGGAGCCAAGCTGGCCTCGTTCTACGAGCGTGCCGGCCGCGTGCAGTCCCTGGGATCGCCGGAGCGCGAGGGCAGCGTCAGCATCGTCGGTGCCGTCAGCCCTCCCGGCGGTGACTTCTCGGATCCGGTCACGAGCTCGACCCTGGGTATCGTGCAGGTCTTCTGGGGTCTGGACAAGAAGCTGGCGCAGCGCAAGCACTTCCCGTCGATCAACACGAGCGTGTCGTACTCCAAGTACACCAACACGCTGCAGCCGTTCTACGAGAAGGAGAACCCCGACTTCCCCCGGCTGCGCGACCGCATCAAGCAGCTGCTGTCGGACTCGGAGGAGCTCGACCAGGTGGTGCAGCTGGTGGGCAAGAGTGCCCTGTCGGACACGGACAAGATCACGCTCGACATTGCGGCCCTGGTCAAGGAGGACTTCCTCCAGCAGAACGGGTACTCGGACTACGACCAGTTCTGCCCCATCTGGAAGACGGAGTGGATGATGAAGCTCATGATGGGCTACTACGACGAGGCCCAGAAGGCCATCGCCCAGGGCCAGCAGTGGTCCAAGGTCCGCGAGGCCACCAGCGACCTCCAGGCCAAGCTCCGTGGTCTCAAGTTTGAGGTTCCCACCGAGGGAGAGGAGGTCATCGTCAAGAGGGTACGTCCTTGTCCGCCCCCCCCCCTCTTCTTCTTCTTCTTCTTCTTCTCTTCTTCTCTTCTCCCCACACCCCAAAGCACTCTTTTCCTCATCATGTCGCACAAGACAGGCTAACAAGTTCATCAAAATACAGTACGAAGAAGTTCAGCAGAACATGCTGGACAAATTTGCTTCGGTCATGGACGAGTAAGGGAAGGAAATGAGAGGAAGGATGGAGTGGGTTTCGTAGCAGCTTTTTATCTTTTATTTTCTGGTTATTTTTTATCCTTCTTATTTCCTTGAGTAAGGGATGATGGCATGTAAAGACCAGTGTTATATAGAGGGATACCTTCTGGTTCTTGTTATGAGAGGAGGAGGGGAGGGGGAGGAAGTGTGGATTGATTTCAAAATGATCAGATGGCATAGCTAGTGGCTCTCTCATGTTTATCAAAAAAAATTGTATCCCCGCGTATGGATATATATCCGATGACTGGTGAAGTTGAGGGCAGAAGTTCCAGGAAGCTGCAACTCTACATGGAAGAGGCTTCTGGAAGAATCGGAGACAGAGTATTTAATATTCCCAAGCGTCTGGAGGAGATATTGTCAGTACATGTACATCTGAGACTATTCCAATGTCGTCAGACTGACAAACGGGTCCCGCCAAGGTGTTTTTTTTCTAAAAAAAAAAAAGAACCCACTCACCCAGACAAGTCAAACCACTCAAAATCCTTGTTTCTTCAAAGCAGCTAAGACCACGAACCCCGCGGATACAAGATCAGACCAGACACAAGAGCATGGTATGATATAGAAGGAAAGAAGCAACGAAGAGAAAGTAAAGGGGGGGAAATAAGAAGAAGGGAGACAGATATAGATAAAAGAACAAGGGAAAGAGAGAAGAGAGAGGAGAGAAGAGGAGAGGAGAGGAGAGAAGAGAGAGAAGAGAGAAGAAGCAGAAAAAGAAGAAGGATGTCGGAGGAACTCCTAGACGAGATGGAAGCCATCAACTCCATCTACGGCGAGGACACGCTGTGCCCGACAACGGACGGCGGACCGACGAGCTACATCCTCCGACTGCCGGGCGACGCGTCGTCGCTACGGCTAGACTTCCCGTCGTCGTACCCTTCCTCGCCTCCCAGCGTGACGGGCACGCACCACAGCTCGGGCGGCAAGAAGGGAGCCGGGTCTCGCGATCTCGACCTCTTCCGCTCCTGTCTCGGCAACGTCTTCCAGCCGGGCATGGTATGCATCTTCGACGCGGTGGATGAGTTCTCCCGTCGTCGAGAAGAGGAGGGGCAATCGGAGGGATCGGAGGAATCGGAGGGACCGGAGGGATCGGAGGGATCGGGGGGATCGGAGGAGGAGGTGGAGGAAGGTGTCAGAGGTGAGAGGAAGAAGTGGGTAGAAGACGAGACGGAACTGTCGAGTCTTGCGGCACCGCCGTGGACCGTCTCGGCGCCCTTTGTCGACTGCAAGTCCAGCTTCGTGGCGCACGTGGCGCCGGTGACGTCGCCCGACCAGGCGCGGCTCTACGTCGCCCAGCTGCTCGAGTCGGACAGGAGGATACGGGACGCTACGCATAACATGACGGCCTGGAGGATAAGGGGGACGGGAGGCGGTCGGTCGTCGGCGACCGTGACGTACCAGGATTGCGACGACGACGGCGAGACGGCCGCCGGCTCCAGGCTGCTTCACCTCATGCAGCTCATGGACCTGTGGGATGCCATGGTGGTGGTGACCAGGTGGTACGGTGGTGTCAAGCTCGGACCTAGGCGGTTCGCCATCATCAACGCCGCCGCGAGGGATGCCTTTGTCAGGGCAGGCATGGTGGTCGAGAAGGACAAGGGCGGGAAGAAGAAGGGCAAGTAGTTCCAACCTCTCCTCCTGAGACCCTTCTGTCCTTTCCCTTCCCCCCTTTTACGGAGTACTCGTACTTGCACGAGACAAGAGACAACCCCACGATGTATTGGATAAAATGACCATTTTTTTTTTTTTGGAACAATCTGCTTCCCCTTTCCCGCCGAAAAGAAGAACAAAACTACGTTCAAACACATCTGCCATCGGGTGTAACACCATGCGTGTAATCGTTATGCAAAAATCGAAAAGAAAAAGAAAAAAGAAAAGAAAAAGAAAAAAGAAAAGAAAAAGAAAAAAGAAAAACTGGTGACGTGAGTCAAAAATCCCTTGTCCCCGAGAGGGCCAAAAAAGATGGTATAATAGGTGCAAAAAAAAAAACCCAGAACTGAGCAAAGAGGGGGTATTACAATAACTTTTACTGCTTCCTTTGTCCTCTCTTCTCTCTCCCATCCTCAGACCCATTTTTGCTGTTGTATCCAACCCCCCAGGGAAAAGAAAAGAAGAAGACGTCACTCCTCTTTGGTGAGGAGTGGTTTCAATATGTCCAGAGCCCTCCTGGACTGCACATCGGGGAGGATGACGGCACCGGCCCTGGCGGTGGAGAGGTAGGACAGCTCGGAGCTCTCGGCGAGCTGCATGTCCTGGACGAGCCTCCCGGCGACGCCGCAGACGATACCGGTGACCTCGAAGGGCAGGCCGACCAGGTCGAGGAAGATGGGGATGTGGCGGCCCTCTGTGTCGCCGACGAGCGAGTCGCCAAAGGTGGGGAGGAGGGTCTTGTCCAGCAGGAGAGAGGGCGGGTCGTCCTGGGCGAGGGTGACGGACATGAAGCGCGGGTGGGAGACGAGGGCGGCGATGATGCACGTGTACAGCTTCGTGTCCAGGCCGTCGACCCAGCTGGGCGGTGCCCTGGCGGCGCGGCTACCTGACGCGTGATGACGGTGGCCACCACCACCACCACCACCGCCGCCGCCGCCGCCGCCGCCGCCGCCTGCTCCCCCAGTGCCGCCACCGCCGCCACCGCGCCCGCCGGCGGATACGGAGCTGTATATGCCGCCGTCGGTCACGGGGGGCGATATCTCGCGGCCGGAGCACTGGACCAGCTCCAGGTCGTCGTCGACGCGGGGCGAGACGTTGCGCTTCCTGAGGAGGTCGAACGCGCGGGCCTGCAGCTCGTCGAGGGTGGTGGAGGGCGAGGAGGAGGGTGGTGTGGCGGGCGGGGTGGTGGTGGTGGCGGGCGCGGGCGCGGGCGCGGGCGAGAAGGGGACGGAGTCGCCGTCGTCGGAGAGGAGCTGGAAGCCGCCGTGGGTGTCGAGGGCCTTGACGATGTTGTGGCGCTCGCTGGCCGGGGCGAGGATGAAGTCGGAGTAGTAGGTGGAGATGAAGAAGATGGGGATGCCGGCGCGGGCCAGGGGCGAGGTGAGCTCGAGCACGCGGCCGGCGGCGTCGAGGCCGGCGCTGATGACGGCCAGGACGGTGTACTCGCTGTCGGAGAGGGCGACGGAGCGGGCGGCGTCGCGCGGCAGCGAGGCCAGGACGGGCTCGAAGACGGCGCGGGCCCAGGCGCTGTGACAGACTATCGAGACCTCGATGGGGGTGACGCTGATGTTGAGGAAGCCGCGGTGCTGGCCGGCGTCGCGGGAGTCGAGCGACAGACGGTGGAGCTGCTCCTCGGGCGACGACGGCGACGACGGCGAAGATGGCCGGCCCAGGTTCTGGGTCTCGGGGAGGAGGATCTGGAGAATGGGACGTATAAAGGTCGAGTACAGGTCTAGGGGGATGTGGATGAGGGTATATGAGCCTTTCTGTGGGGTCGGTCAGTCACATCGTACCTCTGGTGCTACCGGTAGGTAGCCTATATATCCGAGATTCTGGTCGGGCTGCTTACCAGGAATGAGACCTGAGCATTCATGATGTCGATGTCGAGGGCCAGTATAGATGAGTATGTATGAGTATATATATGTATGCGGAGGGAGCCGGAGAAGAGAGGACAGGAGAGAAGGGGATGGAAGAAAGAAGGAAAGAACAATAAACGATTCCTCGGATAAGAAAGAAGGAAAGAAAGAAAGAAGAAAAAAAAGAGAATTTTTTTTTCCTGGTCCTGTTTTGTGTGATTGTCCTTGGGTGATGTTGATGTCAGATATGAGGCTCTGCTAATTCGTTCCCCACGTATAGATAAGAGATGCGTATGGTTAAGAAAACTCTATTGCAGAGAGGTAGCAGAGGGGGAGTCGAGAAAGGGAGGGGAGGGGGGGGGGGGGGGGGGGGGGGGGGGGGGGGGGTTGTTGAGGGAGGGTATTTCCCCTTCTTGTCTTATATATATTCTACTTTCATGGAAAAGGAGGGTGAAGAAGAGGATAGACGGATTGGAAGAGAGAGAGAGAGAGAGAGAGAGAGAGAGAGAGAAAGTAAGGAGATGAGTTTACAGAAGGAAGAGAGAAGAGATGGGAAAGGAAGAAGAAAAAAGAAGGAGGAGTGTCGTATGTAGGTGCGCGGGACCTAAAAAAAAAGAAGAAGAAAAATGAAAATGAAAATGAAAAAGATAAAACTAGAGGGTATAGAATGAGGGGCAGCATAGATAAGAAGGGTGGGAGAGGGAGGGAGAGGGAAGAGGGAAGAGAGGAGGGAAGAGAAGAGTAGAAGTAATTGTTGATGGATTATATATATATATGTGTGTGTATATATGTAGATGTATGTTATGAGTGCGAGTAGAGAGGATGGTAGAATGTAGAGATGGAGGACTGACGAGATGGAAAATGATGTGCTGCTGCCTTTACCCCCCCTCTCTCTCTCTCATATTTTCCCTTCTCATCTCTTGCTGTGTGTAAGAGCCGGAAAAAGAGGAGATGGGTATGACATTATCTATCCCTTATGTTGTACCATTGCATGTTGGGGTCATGTGGGGATTCTTTCTTGCTCTTTTCTCTTTCTTGTCTCTTTCTCTATTCTTGGGGGATATGATGACCTTCTCCAGTACATGTTTCCCTTTTGTGTATGTGTGTGTGTGTGTGTGTCTGTCCTAACGTTGGTAATGGCTTATCAGATACACATACAGAAAAAATAAAAAGTCAAGAATGCGACTATACGAGTATTACCTTGTCAGAAGACTAAAGGGATCACTGATGTTTAATGGAGTGAGTAGAGAGAGTCACCATGATGATACGGTGTACCGATAAGGTGCCCCCACCCAGATATGAGGCTTGAATGATTCTCAGGGCAGAGCAGAGGATGCAGAGCAGAGGATGCAGTGCAACAGTAGAACAGGGAAGGAGAGAGGAAGAGAGGGAGAGAGAGAGAGAGAGAGGTTATGACGACATCTTGGCTGATGTCTTGATCGTATCAGATACAGAAGAGACCCGAAAGTAATTACAAGGTGTTGTTACTACCACTACCATGAAGGAGAAAAGAAGGGGGGTTGGGGGGGGGGGGGGGGGGGAGGAGAGGGAGAGAGGTGTGCTACACCAGTGGTAGCGGGGCCCAGTGCAGTAGCAGCGGCCTAGTGGGCAGGTAGAGCGGCACTACGGTCCCACGGGTGATGGACAGTCGAGAGGCTGGCTTTTTGGGCGCCTTGCCGTCTTGGGGGGTTCCTCGGGTCCCTGAACTCCCTACAGCCTACCACGGCCTACTACAGCACAGCCTACTGCAGCCTATAGAATCCTCGGTAGAGGCCACACACAGCCAAGCCACAGCAAGCACCTAGCCATAGCTAGGGATGCACTATGCACCGTAAACGATTGCACTGTGAAAAGAAGAAGCAGAAGAAGAAGAAAGAAGAGGAAGAATGGTGATGTTACTACCTGTGATGATGTGAGGCTCCATGTTCATGCATACTCAGAATTCAGAGCCCTCCTCCTCTTCTCTCTCTCTCCTCATCCTGGCTCTCCCCGTCCTGTTCGCTGTTCGTATCGTGATTTATCAGAGAAAGACTTGCCGTGCCTGTGCCTGCGGGGGTTGCATACATTGTCTTATTCACCCACTCACTCACTCACCCACCCACCTACCACCACCACCAGCTCACAAGAACCGGTGGACACTAGAGTAGTAGTGGATAGTAATACAGATTAGCATGTTCGGAGTGATACGGTGTACGGAGTATTATTATTAGCATCATCAGCAGCGTCGTTATTAGCATCATCAGCATCATTATTGCCTCTACCAAGAGCAGGGACTGACAGGGCGCCCACAGTGGACAGAACTCCAATAAACCCCCCCAAGTCCCCTGTTCTTCCTCTTCCCCTGTTCTTCCTCTTCCCCACTCTACCCCCCCCCCTTGCTCTCTCCCGCTCTCCCCATCCCTTCGTCTCCCTCTCCTCTCCCTCCTGTCGACAGAAGGCATATTCTTCTTCCCTTTCAGGTACCACTACTCGTAAACTGGTCCGGACGCCATGATCCTCCCTTCCACCAGACCTATCCCCCTCGTTTAGCCGTCGCACTCACTCTGTTCGTGACCCAATTCTTCTCCTTTTTTTTTTTTTTCCATTTCTTCCCCTTTCTTCTTTTCCTTCTTTTCCTTCTCCTTCTCTTCCTTCTCCTCCTCCTCCTCCTCTTCCGTCTTCCGTCTTGTCCAGACTCTCGCCTCCGACTTCTCCTCCTCTCGGCCCGAACCGTCCACGATGCGTCTGCTGCGATCCCTGGTGGGGGCATCCCTCGCCCTGGCCGTGACCGTCATGGCGGCCGACGATTCTACCGACGACAGCCCCCTCCCGACCCTGACGAGCAGCGACTCCATCCCGACGTACCCGGCCGCCGCCGTCCCCCCGACCGGCGACGCGCCCTTCATGCACCACTCCCACGCGCCCGACGGCACCGTCTTCATCGCCGTGGGCGCCATCCTGGGCGCCATGCTGCTAGGCGTCCTCCTGTGGCGCCTCGCCGTCGGCCTCCTGCTGCACCGCAGCGTCCGCCGCGCCGCCATGGCTCAGCACCACCGCGTCGCCGACCCGGGCTCGAAGTCCTCCGACGGCCTGGCCCCCCCCGCCATGTTCTACAAGTACACCGATCAGGGGTCCAACATGTCGGTCAGCAACAACAGCAACGGCGGCAACGGCAACGGCGGCGCCCACACCCCTCCCCACCACCATCACGGTCACAGGGCAGCCGGCGGCGGCGGCGGCGGCGGCGGCGGCACGACGGGGAAGCGCAGGACGAACCGAGCCTCCGTCGTGCCCTCCTCGGCCAGCCAGTCCAACCTCTTCTTCTCGCCCACCGCCGCTCCACCGTCGGGCAACGCCCTCGCCGGGAACCGCACCTCCACCTTCCTCCCCCCCGGATTCTACGCTGCCGGCATCCACGGCAACAACAGCAGCAGCAACTACCCCGGCTCCGGCGCCAACGCCAACGCCATCGGCATGTCCAACCTCCACCCGGATCCCTCCTTCCGCCCCACGCCGCCAGACAGCCCCTCCTTCGCTCCGGTCAGGAGGGAGTCGCCCGGCCTGCCGGCCGGCCGCCGAAACGACGTGAGCACCTCGTCCGTCAACCTGTCCAACCCGCTGCCGCCCGGCCAGAGGGCCCCGAGCGCCTACCTAGATGACCTCTTGGCCGATGACCCTGCTGCTCTGCCGCCGCCGCAGATGCCCCCCAGTGCTGGGAGAACCGGCCCTAATTCCAACATGATTTAGGACTCCCATCCTTCTCCTCTCCTCTCCCTCCCTCCTCTCCCTCCTCTTCTCTCCTTCTCTTCTTCTCCCGTCCTCTTTCTCTCTTCTTTCCTCTGTTCCTTTCCGCTCCTCTTTCATCTCCATTTTTTTTTCAACCTCTCCCCTTCTCCTTTCAGGGCATGGCTAGCGATAATACCGGTACACACCTCTCCTGCATTATCTGAGACAGAATGAGTACCACACACACACACACACACAAAGCAAGGGTGGTTCACTTTTTCGTTCACACTGTAAAGATTTTTCCTTCAATTCTTCTCTTTTTTTTTTCCGGGAGTTTGGGATATATACAAGTGTCTTTTTTTCTCTCTACATAACCATCTTTTTCTCTCTTCTTTCTTTCTTTTACCTTCTCCTTACAAAGAAACCAAGGTCTAATATATCACATTCCCCTTCCATTCAGGCTTCACCTCCATCCTGTAATACTACGTTCTGTCCATGTTTATAAGGGAATGAGCCAACCGGGAGGGAGAGAGAGAGAGAGATGACTCTTCGTTACGGTAAAACAGTAAATATACATGTACGTAAAGGAAGACTACTTGTGTCGAGAGAAGGGGAAAAAAAAAGAGAAGAGGAGGAAGGGGAGGGGGGGAAAAAATGTGCCCAAGCTGAGACTCGAACTCAGGTTTCCACGGTTCCGGTACGATGTAACCCACAACGTGGTGCCCTAACCACCTAGACGACTTGAGCTGATTCTGATTCTGGTATTGGCGCTGGAGCGGCATGTTTCGGATCATGGGGATGCCGTCACGTCCTCTGCACAGCGGTACGTAGTGCTCGAGAAGCTTTCCAGAGGGGAGGGGAAGTATTGGACACTCTTGAAAGAGTCCTCTGTTACTCGTATCATTAGTAGAGAGAGTATGATCACTCCGTATATATCAGCAGACTATCACTCTCCGTCCAATCCTGGGTTCAAAAGTCTCGTCATAACCCTCATCCCCCGTTCACACCCATCCAACACACACACACACACACACACACACCCCTCCCTAAAAGAAAATAAGCTGCATAGATGGATAGCTTACATATACAGATTACTCCGTACCGATGTATGTAATAATATTACCAAGATGGGCCTCAACACCTCCAAAAAAAAAAGGGCAAGAACACACCAGAGATATCACATAATCGGATTACGTGGGATTACTTTTTAAGCATTCAACGACCCCCCAGATAAATTGACATCATATTCCCTTTACATCACGTACCCCAGGATTTTCATAATGCATCTTGCATCTT